CCCGCTGGATCATATTATCTACCTTGACGACTGGGCCAAGCTAGCGGGCAGGATATGGGTCGCCTCTTCAAGACCATTGAACAAGGGTTAGATGTCTCTCTTCTGCTTCATGCGTCCCGGTCACGTCCCCAGGCCCGGCTTTCCCGGCGGCCAGATCAACCGTTAGACACAGCAATAGGCATTTGTTGTTGTGGAGGTACAGGAAGGAAGGAGCCTCCACTCTGCTCTCTTGCCCTCACTTCTTTGTCCGTGACCTTTTTCGCTTGTGTGATTGGACAAAATCGAAAGCGATCTGCAATCGCATTCGTCAAAACATAAAGAAAGAATGTACCCACGACGGGTTGCAGCGTCCACCGACAAATATATAGCTCTATACTATGCGACTGGAGAAGACAGTGTGCTTGGTTCGTGATCAATCAACACTGCGGAAGAGAGCGCTGTGCCGAAGGCAACAACACAGCGATCTTGCATGTCTACACGTGGTGCTGAAAAGAGCTGCAGGACACACCCATATAATAATACATCCAGGTTGGAACACGTTCATGAACACAGCTTGAAAAACCCTCTGAGCTCTGGGCAAACCGTTTCACATGCGGTTTCATAAAGAACGGCTGCCCTAATCGCTGATTGAAGCTGGTCGTCGCGGTCCAGCACGGTACAACGCCACGCGCTTGTAGTTCGTACGTGGCGCCTGTTGCACGTTGCAGAAACCGAGGTACACTCCCACGCAATAGATGGTTTGTGTCTCCGACGCCCGCGTGTGGAGCGAAAAGGAGCTCGATGTGTTTTTTTCCACCAAATTTGAGCTGTGAGTTCCCGTGCTATTGGATGTTGGGTGTCAACGTCACGCTGTCGACTGACACGCTCGCTCGCTCCGTGGGCCTTCTGCGGCCGACCGTCGTAAGTGCTGATTCCAGTCGCCGCGGGCTTGGCCAAATCGACAGATCCCGCGTCCACACTTTGGATTGGTTGACGCTGCATCCGATTGGCCAATCGCATCGCGACGTTGAGTAAAACGCACGCATTTTGACGAATCACAAGCGCGCGGGTTCAAGTTGTGTGTTTCCCGTCCAATGGCATTACTGCGGACCATTACTCGCGAATAAAATACACGGACACTGGCCATTTGTATGCAAATGGCGCACGCCATTAAAAAATGTCGCGGCCATTTCTCGTTGCACACTACAGTCGCGCAACATTGGCACAAGCGGCGAAGGAAGATGCAGCCGCGCATATCCGTCGCCAGCCGCCCGCCCAAGAGGTTCCATGCCATGCGGGGCGTCTTTGGCGCCTACTACCAGGACACCGACGCGCTCGTCAAGTCGCGCGAGTCCAGCCGCGCCTCGGCGCGCGAGTCCAGCCGCGTCCTTGCGCGCGGTGGCATTCCCCGGCACACGCAGCCCAGCTACGGCGACCACCCGCTCGCGTTCTTTGCATCTGAGCCGCCGCCGCACTTTGCGACGCTTGAGCATGCCGACCCTGTCCTCCGCGTACACCTCCAGACGATCGAGACGAGCATTTGCACCATCCAAGAGATCCGAAAAGACCTCGCCCCTTATTTATAACAACACGTACTTTCAGTTCTTATTGCAGCGGATCGAGCTTACGACGGCAAGACGAGATCGCCCTTGGAGGCCTTGAGAAGCTTCTCGAAGAGCGCCGGCTCGTCGCGGAGGCCGCTGTGCTGGTACTCGTTCGAGACAAAGACAGCAACGTTGTCGCCAAGGAGGCGCGCGGTTGCGAGCGAGAGGTCGCGGTCGACAAACACGTCGTCGTACGCGACGAGCGCCGCGCCGGGAATCTCCGTGTCCTTGAGCGCATCAAGGTCGTAGAGCGGGCGCCAGTTGGACGTCGCCGCGAGCTTCTCGGCCGCGGCCTTGAAGAAGCGCAGGCCCGCATAGTCCTCGGCCATCCACGGAAACACCATTTCGCCGGAAAAGTAGAGCGGGTCCATGTCAGTCGTGATCGTGCCAAAGCGGTCCCAGTGGAAGCGCTTGTCGCCGGCCGCGTGGACGCGCTGCGCCGACCAGTTGGACGCGACCTTGGGGCCATCGCAGTAGATAGCTTCGTGCAGCACAAAGTAGAGCGGGTTGGTGTCAAAGCCGGCCTGGAGGCTCTCGACGCCGGCGAGGAAGCCTGAGGAGAGCTCGTCTTCGTTGAGCCACGCGCCTTCGAGGAGGTAGTGGACCGTCTCCATGCCGCCCGCAAAGCCAAACTGCGCGCCGAGCGTTGCAAACCGGCGCGCCGTGAGGACACCGCCGCCGGGCAGCGCCGCCGGGTGGTGCATGAGGTGGTGCGCGATCTTGGCCGCGCGCCACGTATCTTCGGGGTACCGCGCATAGTAGCGGCGGTTGCGTTCGGCCATCTTGGCGTACGTGGCTTCGTATACATTGTCGGCGGACGCACCGACCGGCGCCAAACCGACTGTGAAGAGGACGCGGTCGAGCGACCCGGGGAAGAACGAGAGGTACGAGAGGATGCAAAACCCGCCAAACGACTGCCCGAGCAGCGTCAGGTTCAGGTCCGGAAACACACTCGACCGAAAGAGCTCGGCGTCGTGCACGATCGCATCGGCGCGGAAGTGGCGCAAGTAGGCCGCGAGCGCGTCCGGGTCCTTGAAGTCACGGCACGACTGCGCAGTGATAGGCGTCGAGAGGCCCGTACCGCGCTGGTCGAGGAGCAGGACGCGGTAGTCCTCGAGGGCCTTCTTGAGCCAGCCAGACGGCGGCGCGCCCGGGCGCGGCGACGGAAAGCCTGGGCCGCCCTGGAGGTACAGCAGCAGCGGCAAATGGTCGTTCGCGAGGTGCTTGTCGGCGACGACTTCGCGCACAAAGACCTCGATGGTTTCGTGGTTGGTCGCGTCAAAGTGGTCGAGTGGCACCGTGATGCGGTGGTCGCGGCTGTGGACGCCGCCCGGAAGCTTGGCCAGGCCCGAGGAATGCACGGTCGCCATTATGAAATCGAAAATGAACAAGGGACCACCGAGCGGATAAACGCACCCAACTAGCAAAGCGCCACCTGGTCGAAGCGGGCGGAACCTCAAAGAGGCCGACCAGGCGCGCAACTGCGGCATCAGATGCGCTGCACCGTGGCACACAGCGCTGAAAAGACCCAACCGCAGCGCTGATAGGTCGGTTGACGAGCGCGATCGGCTGCAGAAGCCTCCGACACCGTCGTCGGCGCGCGGCTATGCACCATGAACCGACCTTGAAGTTGCCAACGGCTGGTCCTTCAAGTGCTTGGAGCGCATCCGCTGCGTCCGTCGAGAAGAACGACGCCAGAGCAATCGCAATCATCGAGCCACGACCCACAAGCAGAGTGCGACGATGACCATCTGGAACGTTGGCGACCGGTTCATAAGCGATAACCGATAACCGATCGACGACACATGGACACGACGTGCCGGCGACGAGGGTGCCGCACCTTGGGCGAAGGCAAGCTTTGGCAGGCGATAGGGACGCGGAAGGTCGTGAGGGCGATCGCCCTTGTCCGCCCAGTTTGACAAGCTGTGTTCCTGCCATTCTTCTGGTTCGACATTTGCTGCGTGGCAGCTCGCGTGGGCAACGCACACAATTGCGCCGTGTTTGGATAAGAACCGATCTCAGGGTGGTTCTTATCGGTGGCTCTTATCTGCAGAATCGACGCAGTGTGTACGCAGTGCTGATGGTTTTGTAGTTGCCTTTTGTAAGCCAGTTGTAGCTGTTTGCGAGACGCACGCAATGACCCCTTTCGACCCAAGAAATAGAAGCGGTAAAATACACTGTAAAATACTTGATAATTGCAATAAAATAAGAGACAATATCGGTCGTCTCGTAAACACTCTACGGCGACGCAAGCACCTTGTCGAGGTACCCGCCTTCGTGGCAGAGCTCGTAAAAGATGCCAGTGCCGTCGTCAATCAACTGCTGCGGCTTGTCGCACTGCACGAGCCGGCCTTGGTCAAACACGAGAATGCGGTCGCAGTCCAAAACCGTGTCGAGGCGGTGGGCGATCGTGAGGACGGTCGAGGCCGCAAACTCGGTCCGGATCACGCGCTGGAGGTTCTGGTCCGTCTCGTGGTCAATCGCCGCCGTCGCTTCGTCCATGACCACGATGCGCGCCTGCCGCAGGAGGGCCCGCGCCATGCACAGCATCTGCCGCTCGCCGACGCTAAAGTTCTCGCCGTTCTCTTCGACGTGGCTCTCGAGCTGGCCGTCGACCGACGCGATGCGCGATTGGAGGCGGACTTTACCGAGGGCGTCCCAGAGCTGGTCGTCGCCATAGTCGCTGAACGGATCCAAGTAGTTGCGCAGCGTGCCCTTGAAGAGCACGGGGTTTTGCGGAATGATCGCGATCGCACTGCGCAGTGTCTTGACGCCCACCGACTTGATGTCGACGCCGTCGATCGAAATCGAGCCGGACGCGAGCTCGTTGATGCGGAAGAGCGCCATGGTCAAGCTCGACTTGCCGGCGCCCGTGCGCCCGACGATGCCAATCTTCTCGCCCGACGCAATGTCGACGTTGACGTCCTTGAGCACGAGCGCATCGTGCTCCTTGTAGCGGAAGCTCATGTTGCTAAACGTCACGTGGCCCGTCGTCGGCCAGTCGTGGGCCGTCGCACCGTGGATCACACGGGGCGCCTCCGGCTCGATCGCCGCGTACTCGGAGAGCCGCTCGGGGCCGACCATCGCCGTCTCAATCTGCGACCACGAGGTCACTATCCACTCGAAGAACGGAAGCACCGCAAAGGTGTAGTTGAGCACAAGACCGATCAAGCCCGGACTCAACATCGCGCGCGCCCACACCAGCGAGACAAACGTGACGAGGAGGAGCAGCGCCGACGTGAGCTGAATACGCAGCGAGAACCACTGCGTGATGACCTGGCCCGCGACGACCGCCTCCAAGTTCATGTCGACGTTGCGGTGGTGCAGGCGCTGGAAGCGGCGCACTTGCTTGGCGCCAAACGCGCGAATCACAAGCGCGCCATCAATGCACTCGGAAATCAAACTCAAAAGCGGCGACCGCGTGACCTTGTTGACGCGCTCGACTTCGCGCGCGGGGTGAATGTACTCTCTGCCCGTCGCAAAGTAGAGGTACACGATCGGCAGCAGGATGAGCCCGAGGCTGCGCACGGCGACGACCGTCGTCAAGAGACAAAAGACCGCCATAAACACCATCGCCAAGAACGAGTTGAGCGTCATCGGGATCGCCGTGTCGACGGTCGCGAGGTCGCTGCTGTACCGGTTCAAAATGCGGCCGACCGGGTTCGCGTCAAAGAAGGCCATCGGCGCCTTCAGCAGCGACGCCGTCATCTTGTCAAAGAGGAGCCGAGAGGCTTTGAGCCCCGAGAGCAAGATCGACGCCGTGCGGAGGATCGTAAAGAGAACACCCCCGAGCGACAACAGCGAGAAGATCGCCAAGTGGTACGGACCGTGCGCAATGTAGTCTGGGTCCGCCATCCATTTCGTGAGCCAGTAGTCGCCCGCGATCGAGAGGACTTGCCACGACGAAATGACAAACGCCCAAAAGATCAGCATCGGGTACCCGCCGATCGCGTCCAAATACGCAGAGAAGATGTGCGACGAGACGCGGCCGGCGCAGCGCTCTTCTTGAAACACGAGCGTCCCGGACATGGTCGTCTCGTCGTACGTCTCGACGCTCGCGTCATCGAACGGCGTGCAAAAGAGGTTGTCGTAGCCCGGGGACATGACGGACGGCGACACAAACGACGGCTGCGCGGCCGCCTTGCTCTGGCGAAGCGAGAAGACGTCTTCGTCCGTAAACTCGCCGCTGCCCGCAAACCCGAGCCGCGCCTTGAGTGGCGAGACGAGGATCGGGGCGTCTTGCTTGTCGACTTCTGTGGTGAGCAGCTTGCCTTGCTTGAGCTCGATCGACCGGTCAATGTACGAGGACGCAATGATCTCGGGCGAGTGCGTCACGAGCACGATCGTCTTGTGCCGGAGGAGCCCGAGAAAGCACTTGGTGAAAATCTCGTTCGACACGATCGCGTCGACGGCCGACAAGGGCGAGTCCAAAAGGAAGATGTCGGCGTCGCTGTAGCATGCTCTCGCGAGCGAGATGCGCGCTTTCTGGCCGCCGCTGAGGTTGACGCCTTTCTGGCCAATCTCGGTGCGGTCGCCGGCGGGGAAGAGCGTCAGGTCCTTGCTCAGTGCGCACGCGTCCAGGACGGCGTTGTACTTTTTCCGGTCGTACGGCTTGCCAAAGAGGATGTTGTCGCGGATCGTGAGGTTTTGGATCCACGCCTGCTGCGAAAAGTAGGCCACTTGGCCGCCGACAAACACCGACCCGTGGCGCTTGTGCATCTCGCCGAGCAGCGCCGAGACGAGCGACGACTTGCCTTCGCCGACCGCGCCATGAACGAGCACAAACTCGCCGCGCTTGATTTGGAGGTTGATGCCGTTGAAGAGCGGCTTGCCGCTGACGTCCCATGCAAACGTGCCGTCGGCAATCTCAATGTCAATCTTCTTTTCAGCGTACGCGTTGAGTTCCGAGGTTGAGATGGTCTCGGGCGTCTTGACGACGTCCGTGTCCTTCTCGTCCATGTCGAGAAACTCCATGATGCGCTTGAGTGCCACGACCGCCTGCATGAGGTTGGCGACGATCTGCGGCAAAAACATCATCGGGCCGCGCAGCAATGTAAAGAGCGAGAGCGCGGTGAAGACCGTCGCCGGCGTCAGCGACTGCCGCATCACGAGCGCGTAGATCGCCAGCGACACGATCGAGACGACGACGGGCGCCGCGTACAAGAGCGCGACGAACCACGACTGCAGCACAATGATGTGGTGCATCGTGCCAAGCTCGGCGTCGCGGAGGCGCGTGAGCTTGTCGCTGAATTTTTCTTCCCACGCGTTGAGCTTGATGACCTGGATCGACCCAAAGACTTCATGGACGACCTTCATGCGCGCGTCCTTCTGCGTCATGAGCGTCTTGAACGCCTGGCGCTGGGCGTTCGCGAGCACATGGTTGGCACCGAGGGTGACGACGATGACGCCGGCGCCGACAAACGTCGACCAGCCAATGACGCGGTACAACATGGCCAAGATGACAACGACCTGGAGCGGAATGAGCCAGATCTGGTTGGACGCGGCCGAGAACGTTATGATGGTTTGGATGTCGGTCGAGAAGAGGTTGGCGAGCTCGCCGGCCGTCGTAGCCTTGCGCGCGGCTGCGTCGAGCAAGAGCGCTTTCTGAAAGAGGAGGTGCTGGAGCGCCGACGTGAGCTGGACAGTCACGAGCTGGTTGGCGTACGTGGCGTGGGCCGTCAGTAGCGCTTGCAGTGACCGCACAAGAAAGAGCGCAAAGATCGTCCCGAGCACGGACAGGACGTCCATGGCCGGACCCGACTCGACGGCGACGAGGATTTGTTGGAGCACGATCGGGCCATACAAGGTGCAGCCGACTGTGATCGCTTGGACGAGGCCGATGACAACGAGGCGGCCACCGTAGACCGAGACCACGGCGCGGGCAATCGAGCGGGTCGACCGAAAGGCAGGCTCAAAGGCGGCGCTCACGGTCTTGCACTGCAGTGGCGCTTCGAGCGGCCAAATGTCGTCGGGCTGCAGCTGCCGGGTGTTGCCGAGCGAGAGGAGCGGCTGGACCCATGCGTAGAGGACACGGGACGTCCAGGACGCCGCCGAGGACGGGTGCGTGCGGTGCGAAGGCGGTAGCTCGGCCTCGATCGAGTGGTACCGGGCCATCGACTGCTCGATGCGGCGCGAAAGCAGAAGTACGCAGCTGGAAGCTCGTGCGTCACCGAAACGACAGTGGTCGGCTCCAGATTTCGAAACTTGTCCTGGATACACTGTATTTTCTCTGGACTCCACACTATTACTTGGTTTCCTTGAAGCGCCGGGACCTACGGTATGTGCTGGCAACTGCGGTGGCCAGCGCCAGAGGAAGAGGATGCTACTGCACCGAGATACCGTGCCTCGTCCAACACAGCCGACCTCTACACGTCCAACAGGCGGCTGCAACTGGGGGCAACTTGGTCCGCCACTCGCACTGGCCCTTGCGAGGGGGAGTGGCCGCCATCTCGTAAACGTTGTGGTCGACGCCCTTGGTAATAGCGTGTCCGTCTACCTCGTCTGCGACGGCGCGGTAGCCATCGACGGGCATGAAACGGCAAACATACACTATTTGCGTGCGTCCAGCTCAAGTTGCCGTTGCCGGAGATCACTGCGCCGACCGCGACGCGAAGAATATGCCGACGCCACTGTCGCCAGCCTGGCGCCATCCTCGGAGACGCTTCTCCGAGACAACCATCAACGTCGACTTCTTCTTCTTCTCTGAGGAAACGGCGGCGCAGCGTCAAAATCTCCACGGAAACCCCCCGCCGACGCCCACGCCTCGCCACCTCGCCGTTGGAACCCGTTCCTCGAGACCGACTCTGCACGGCTCGATCTCGCAATGTCTTGGCTGCCCACATACATGCGTAGGTCGCTGCTACGTGCTTGACGTCAAGGCGCTACGTGCAATCATTACGTGCAGCTCGTGCCGACCATCGTCACTTGCCACTTGTGGCGAGGTGGCACGTTGCAGCTACTCGAGTAGCCGAGTAGCTTTGCACAGTGGGACGGGACAGTTGCTTGCGGTCTAATTTCTGGCGTTCGATATGCCCGTCCACACGGCTGCTGCAAGCCTCTGCAGCGGCGTCGTCCATGTGCGCTACAGTGTATGGCGCACGGAACGCGCATGTTTGCGAGGTAATTTTGCGGCGAACAGTACGTGGGCTCCAACGTGAGCCAGATGTGCGTGGGCCATTGACGTCAAGTGCGTGAAACAGCATATCAGTGCTTGGTCGAAACGGATGGCGGGCTATTTTGGACCCTGGACATGGGTCTCGACGATGCGACGCTCGGGCTGACCATCGGCAGCGCCGAGGCTGTCGCTCTGGCGACAGCGACAGCGACGACACATTCTTCGTACGTTCAGCGTATCCGCAAGTCCAAGGTGCATCGCGGGAAGCCCCATCTGCCGACACCATCGGCAACACCGCCGCCACGGGTTGTGCGGCGCAAGGTGCAACCGCCTCCCGTTGATGAGCCCGCGCTCGAGGACGAGCCGAGCTCGATTGAGATTCCGGGGCCGAGCTCGAACCTCGTGCACCGTGTAACCCTTGTTGACACCATCACGCAGCGCAAGCGAGTTGGAGGCAACCTTCGCTCCGCCAGTGTACGTGGCTTGACAGCACCATGTCATGTAATCCTGTGCACCATGCGTAGACATCTGAAATGACGTCGTCCAGCAACCAAACGACCGAGTCACCGCATTTGCACCGATCCCAGAGCGACCACCTGCCGTACGACGACGACGACGACCCGTTGCCACCACCGAGTTTGCAGTTGGCGTCACCACCCCGACCACCCACGGCGCTACCTGCCACCGTGCCGTTGATCGACCTCAGCCGTGGCTACTCGCGCACCAACCGTGCGATTTGGACAAGTGCGCAAGCCAAAGCCAAGCTTCCGCGGGCGACACCACCGCGCTCCCTCGTCTTGTCCGATGGTGCGGCGTCCGTGCACTCGGGCGACGTCACGTCGTCGCAGCTTGTGGCGGAAATGGACGTCATCAAGTGCATCATGGTGCGCGAAGCTCTCTTGGAGCGCTTCGGGCGGCTCGTAACTCAAATCGATGAAGCGGTTCTCCATGTGCGCGCCGCTGTGACGCCGGCGCCGATCAGCCGGCGGGCGAGCCACACGTCTGAGACGCTCATGTCGTTGGAGACGCCGCCACCACCTAGTAGCAAGAAGGCGAAGCGCAAGGCCGAGCTGCAATCGCTCGTCGCCAAGCGCGACGCAAGCGTCCGGAAGCTACAGCGCGCGATGGCCGACCTCGTTCGCGTCCTCCCGACCTTTCAGCGAGCGACGATCGACGTCGTGCTGGCCATCGAGGCGTGGACGATACTGTTCGAGACGCCGGTGCGGCATGCACTGCGAGGCTCGCCACCACGCCGACAGCCCTTTGTCTATAGCGGCATCAACTACCTTCTCAAGATGCAGTCGGACGTGCGACCACTCTTCCTAGGCCTCGCGCTGCGCTTGCTGCTTGGACGCGAGGTGCAGCCGCACCCGCTCCTCCTGCCATGCGACAATAGCGCCGGGTTCACGACGTTTCTGACGGACGACGATGTCGGTAGCTATGCGTATACGATGGAGCCGCGTGTGGCCGACGCCATGTACCCGATCATTCTTCCGTTCTTGAGCACGATCCCCTTACCGCCTGTGAATGGCATCAACACCAACGACCCCATCGTCGCCGCCGCAATCGACCGCCTTCTGGACGAAGACGCGCGGGTGGCCGAAGACGACAGACTCGCGATGGAGCGCCGAGATGCGTATGTGAGCTCGTACGATCCGTTCACGAGCATTCGCCAACACGAGGTATGTATCCTATCGATACACGCCCTGTTGAGTTGCTTACGCATGAGCCTAGTCGGTCGACGATATCTTCAACGAAGTGCTGGATACGTCCAAAGAGACAGTTCTAAAGCGCAAGATTTTGCTGCGCGCCAAGCAAGAAGATCCGGCGCGGCTGCCGCCAGCTCCGGCCTCTCAAGCGACTGCACTCCGCGTCAATGTGCAGGAGCTAGCGACCAAAGACGCGGCCAAGCGCGAGGCACTCACAGCGTTTGTCTCGACTAAACAACGCGGACGCGGCCACGTGCTCGTGCGGCGACCACCCGACCCGACGCGCCAGCACCCACTGCAACCGCACGTGCTCAAGATCCAGGTGCAGTACCGCCGGTTCAAGTCCCGCCTCGCCATCTGCACCCATCTCATGCGGTTCTTGCAACGTGCGCACGACGCCGCGACCAACATTCAGGTGCGGATCTGGACCTACATTCCACAATGTGCAATGTGGGACCGGTAGCGGGTTTACCGCGGGCATTGCGCAAAAGGCGTCGCCACCACGATCAAGAACGAGCTTTTGGCGAGAACGTTCCTCGTGTTCCGGTCTGCACGCAAGATCCAACGCCAGTTCCGCATGTCGCAGGCCATGAGCTACGAACGTGCCAAGCAGCAGTACCTCGAGGCAACGCGCCGCAAGGTCCAGCAAGACGAGGCCATGAAGGAAGGCATGGAACGCAAGATGACCGAGGTGTACCGCGCGATGGGCCGACAGCGCCGCCTTGAGCGGCTCGCACAGGCCGAGCGCGCCAAGGCCGAGCACTTGCGGCAGCTCCGCCTCAAGACGCGCGCTGCGATTGCGATACAGAGCTGCTACCGCGGTTTTGAGCAGCGCCGAGCGCTTCAAACCATTCGCAACTCGGCGCTCCGGGCACTGCAAACGACGGCAGTGGTCGCGATCCAGTGCCTTGCGCGCTGTCTCCTCGCCAAGATGCGGCTCAAGCGGCTGCGCTACGACCGGGACATGGCGCTTGTCCATCAATCGGCGACGGCCATTCAAGCGGCGTTCCGCGGCCACCTCTTGCGCCACCGGTCGCGGGCGGCCAAGAGCCGCAAGAAATCGATCTACCGCCGGTCGCCGGGCCGTCGGCGTGCATCGATCGCACCGGGGGCAGGTGGGCTGCCGCCCGTGGCCAAGACACCAGCGCCGCCCAAGCGCCCGCGCCGGTCCTTGCTTACCGTGCCGGCCGAGCTCCAGAGTCCGCGCGACTACCTCCCACCGCTCCGTCGCCCGTCCCAGTCGACAAAACGCGAAGAACTCAAACTCAAAGAACCAACCATCGGCGATACGTTTTGAGTTGACTCCTAATAATATTATTATTATTACAATCGCGTCAGCGTTTCGTGCTCTTGTGGAGTTGCTGGCGCAAGGTAGCCTTCTAAAAATGCAGAAAAATCGAACTGGACGCAAACCGAGCTGCGTCGTACCTGCGTCTCTTGTTCGTGCTGAATGGACGCCTGCAGCTTGGCCACGCGCTTGCGGTCGTCCGGCTCCTTGGCCTTGGCGCGCGGTCCCACGTCTGCCCAGAGCGCCTCGGTGTACGCGGCCAGTGCGCTTTGCAGCCGCCCGTCGTAGCCATCGAGGAGCGTCAAGTCGCCGTCCATCATGTCCGCAGTCTCCAGCGCCGGCTCGGGCAACGTCGATGCCATCAAAGCCTCGAGGTCGGCTTCGCTCATGGCCGCTGGCGTCGCAAACGTCGTGCAATAGTACTCGGGCGCCGCCTCAACCAGCGCATTCCCACCAGGTGCCAGACAGTATGCTCGTCCTTGCTGGTTGCCGATTTGATAGTGTACCTTTGCTCATCTCAATGACGAATGCAGCGAGCAGTCAGTGGACGCACCTGCACCCATGCATTGGAGTCTCGTGGCAGGTCCAGGGACGCGATCGCGGTAGGGAGGTCGTCGATCGACGCCACGTCTCGCCATTCGATGACAGTTGCAATCGTCGTTGGGGCCTTGGCAAGTAGCACATGGCGGTGGCGACGGGCGCTACGCGGCGACATGCGGTCGTGGCATGCCATCGCGAGCCACGGCGTCGCGCATAGCACGAGCGGCGTCGTCGTCGGCGCCACCAACTCGTGAACAACACCAAAGAGGAGGTCGCTTGGTGCCGGTGCCGGCGCACATCCAGGTCCTTGGCATCGATAGACCTGCAGCACTTTGACGTCGTCCGCCTCGGGGGTTGTCTGGTCATTGTCAAGGTGAGATGCTACGGGTTATGAGCCATTGACGGCAACCTGCGGCGGCGCAGCAAAGAGCGCAGCGAGGCACCGACACTCGGGACTGGCCACGGGCACGCGATGAAAGGCGTAGTGGGGATACGCCGCCTGCGCCGCCGCGACAGCTATTGCGTGCTCTTCTTCGGCCGCGATCCGCGCGTCGAGAATCTCAAACATGGCGTCCTACGCACTGGGTTTTTCATTTTCAGCATACAGTGTGACTGGTACTGTGTGGGCAGCAGCCTCAGTCTCACGACGCAGCACCATATCTACGTGGGCAGTGTACTCGGCGTGAAGCGCCTCCAACGTATGCTGGAGCGCGGTCGCATGCTTCTCGCGGAGCAGCGCCTGGCGCGTCTCTTCGGCGGCTATGGCGGCCCGTCCTTTCTGAACGCTTTTTTCGAGGGTCGTGAAGGCCGCGAGGAGCTCCTGCGCCGACATGAACAAAGGTTGGCTTCCGATGTTGGTCAGCGTACGTGCTGCAACACGTCCGCATGCGACTGGTTGCGGTGGCGGCGCGAGTCGATCGTCGACAGCGCGCGCTCGTGGTCTTGCTGAATCGCATCGATGCGGTCGTTGAACGCAAGCACCTACGTTCTCTCGGTCGATCGAGGTCCCTCGTAGTATGGACGCACTCGCTTAAAGTAGGCGTCCTCGGCGGCGTGCTGGTCTTTGGCCGCGACTTCGAGTCCGTCGAGAACGCGCACCTGGCCAGAATATCTCCGTGCTGCCGCAGAAAAGGCTCGATTGTACAACCTGTGGCAGTTGGTTTAGAATGTACGTTCGGTAGCCCTTCGCGCGCGTGATGGGGTTGGCGCCGTAATGTGCGTCGTCGAGCGAGAGGCTGCAGAGGTTGGGCAAGTGCGACAGCGTCGCGAGGTCGGCAAAGTCAGAAAGGCCATTGCCACCGAGTGCCAGACTGTGGAGATGCGTGAGTTTCGTAAGGCCGTCACCGAGCTTTTGGATTTGGTTGTTCTGTGCACGAATATGGCGCTTTCAACAGTAGAGAGGGCAAGGTCGTACCTGCAGCCACAGCTCGCGCAGGTCGGCGCACGCGCTGAGGTTGGCAATCGTTGTGAGGCAGTTGTGGCTCAGCCATAGCTTTTGCAGCTTCGGGCACCTGCAACGACAGCGTCACGCGACTACATACGCACACGGAGCGCTACCCATCGAGGTTTTCGATGACACGAATGCGGTTGCGATCGAGGAGCAGCTGGCGCAAGTTGGGCAGTGCGAGCCCCTCGATGCGCGTGAGCTCTTGGTCCGAGAGGCAGAGCCGCGTCAGCGTCAGCGACACGGGCGCCAACTGCGAGATGCGCTGCAAGCGGCAGTTGAGCACTACGCACACATGGCCAGTCAGTACATAGCAAGCACGACCACGTACGCGTGAGGCTGCAAAGGTTGACGCAGCCGTCCAAGCCGCCGATTGCTTCAAAGACGCCAAAGATGATCTCGATCGTGACGAGGCGCGCGTGGTCAGTCTCGCCCGTGGCTAGCGTCTACGCGATTGGCTTGAGCACACGTGGCACGACGTCGGCGTACAATGTCTTCCGCGGTCAGCGCCCGGGCCATGCCTGCAAGATACCGACTGCATTCTCACGTACATTGATTGGCTAAAAACTATGTTTTTCTACCAATGGCCTTGCGAGGTGTGGCCTCCGCTCATTTCCATTTTCGCTCTGTGGCGGCAGCACGCGCGCGGGCAGGCTTCGGCCTCGCCCTTCCATGGGCATGGCGTCCGATGATGTCAACTTAGCCAAAACCGATGCGATACCGGTCGAGAGACCTCAAGCACATGACG